GGCAATCTGAATAAACCAGAGCCACTCTCCTAGAGGGAAATTATATTAAATGTAAGAAAAAGGTAATAAACCTTTCAGAAAATGAGGAAAAGCAATTTCCACATTCGAGAGCAAGCATACTAAAATACTTCATGTTCACCTGGCCTTTGTGAGAATTTAAGTACCTGTTCATGTAAGTGATGTGAACATGAATATCATAAAACCAAGCTCCTTAGCTATTTTTTTCAATTTAACCTAAGGAGAACCAACTAAAAGAGGTTCAAAATTCAAGGATAGACTGGTCCCAAAGCATTTCATCCTCTGTTCTTTCTTTGCCTTGTTCCTTTTTCTCTTTTCTACACTTATGGTGGTCTTCTCTCTGAAAGGCTACATCTTGGCTTTTTTTCTCGTTCAGATCCCTAAGCTTTTCTGTGCTGACCTGGGCAGTTTCAGTTTCTACCTCTGTTTTTCTTCTTTGGATGCTGTCATGTTCTTCTAAATCCACTTCCTCAGGACTTCTTTTCCTTTTATGCTTGGGCCGTTCCTCCTTTGGATTTTCGTTGCCTTCCTCTGAGTGCCTTCTTCTCTTCTGATGACTGGCTTGATGACTACCAGTCTTGGATCCCGAGGAGAGGTGCTCAGGACCTCTAGATTCTACACTGGCTGAACCATGATTATATTCTTGCCGACTGAGGTTCAGGGGTGCTAGTTTTTCTGAGAAACAGTCCCTGGGGAACTGACAGTAGCTCAGAGACTCTAGTCTTGGCCTGTTGTCATAATCTGGGAACCACCGAGGTAACTGATTTTCTGTCTGTGAAATATTATGTGATCTTGGGTAGGTCTGGATGGTTCCAGATGGGAGTCTTTGATCAAACATTCTATACCTGAGACTGGAATCAACTTCTTCCCTGTACCCACAGCTTTCCAAATAGTCCTCTCTCATCTTTCTGAAACAAGTCTTTGGAGCTAAGCCTCTGGCTTTCTGCACTTTAATATAATCTTCAAATTCATCTTGAAAAGAGTCATATGACTTTGAATGCTTCATTAGGTTGACATAAAGGGATTCTCTTTGGCAGTCTGAGGACTTGGTGGAGAAATCTGATCATATTTATCTAGTACTTGCTTCAGTTTTTCAGCATGAACTTTCCCCAAATAGTGAGACTGTACAACAATCAGGGAGCTCATAATGTAAAATCTTTTATTATTAAAACTGTAGCATCACTCCACAGATGCCTTTTATATAAAGCACCTGTAAAAAGTTCAGTCTTTCTTCATTCAATATAGTATCTTCGCTGAGGCAACAGCGGGATCTACAACTACTGTCTCCCTCCCCACCGATGCTGCCGGCCAAAGGACAGGTAGTAGTGGGAGTGGCGGAGAGGCAGGAAGAACCACTGCTGCTGCCGAGCAGGCGGGGTCGATGGGCTTTATTTTATATGTGATTTGTTTCTTTTCTCTAACAGCTTTTAATGTTCTGTTCTTGTGTTGAATTTCTGGAATAGTCCCTATGATTTGCCTTGGTGTAGTTTTTTTTGAACATTGGTAATTGGACTTCTACATGTCTCACTTATCTGTATGTCAAATTCTTTTCCCCTGTTTGGGAAGTTTTCTGTTATTACTTCTGTGAACAGATTTTTTTAATGTATGTCGTTTGTGTTATCTCCTGCTTTTTCATTGACTCTGATCAATCTTATATTATTCTTTGCATCATCTAGCAGCTGCTGGATTGATTTCTCATGGTCCCTTGCTATTTTTAAGAAATCACTGTTTTCATGGTGACTAGCTCCAATCCTGTCTTCTATATCTGATATTCTCTCTTCACATTGGCTCATTCTCTGTGTATACTTTCAGTGGAGTTTTTAATCTCCCAAATGTCTATTTGAATCTGTTTCATGGATTCCATTTCTTTC